CCCCCCCCCCCCCCCCCAACAACGTTTCGTTGCTTTTTGTTTTTCGCCAAACTTGAGAGCTTTCGAAATGATTATTATGCGATATTTTCCTTTTACTCATTATAGTAGAAGGTTGTATGCATTCTAGAATGATGTCTAAGGCAACTGTCAAAACCTAGATAAGTTCTAGTTAAAACCACATCAACCTATCCTATTGCCGGAGTAAGTGAGTAAACATTTTGAATAGCATAAGTCTTCCTTCACTCAAACAGAAAAATATTCGCTCGCATATTATTTTCTTCCTTATTATTTCTTCTTTCTCTCTCTCTCTCTCTCTCTCTCTCTCTCTCTCTCTGGCTATGCAAATTTCAATCAAAATTTGGCGACACTAATAATAAAACGCAGAAACGCATGCATAAAGATAGCGTTTAATAAATATTCTTCTCTTTGTTTTTTTCAGTTCTTCTTCTTAATTTTTTTCGGTTAACATTATAAATGAGTTGAATTGCTGTAAATATGGTATACTCGTATAAATGATTTAGGCAAAATAAAGCTGAATAGATAGGCGGCAGTAATTTTAAGCAACCTAGGATTTAAATATGTTTGGTCGCAGTAAGCGAGCCTCTTTATATTCGTTTGAGCTCATTGAACGAAATGAGGCAAATATGACATTCATGCTAATCGCTAAAAATCTAATGCACATAATTACGGCTTCATTCATGTCAAACAAGCGAATAAACGAGTGAACTGAACGAACGCAGAAATTGCATAAAGAAGTCAAAGTAAAGACAGTAGTTTAACAACAGATGGCTGTGCGCATAAATGTATGTATGTATGTATGTATATATATATATATATATATATATATATATATATATATGCATGAATGGATGATAACGGATAGAGTAGAATGTAAAGGGTTGGGATCTATAATTGAGGCCCACATTTGCAAGCATTTGCAAGCATTACACGTGTTCTTCTTAACTCACACGCACAATACAACACCCCCGCTAGTCTTGTCTTTTCGTATTTTTCCTTTGCTGCTGCTTTCGTCTATTCTATTTAATTTTTTTTTCTTTTTTATCTTTCTACCAATATATATATATATATATATATATATATATATGCAAACGAAAATACATACTTACAAGCG